TTTCCACCCCACGTTCACAGAAAATCCAAATCCTGGCTCACCTTTCCTTTGTATGCAATATACTCACTACTAGCTAGAACCTCAGCCCAGGCCATCTCTCTCTCTCTCTCTCTATATATATATATATATATATATATATACCTACTATTAGCTAGTACCTCATTCCAAGCCCTCTCTATGTCTATAGACCCAACTGCTAGCCAGTATGGGATCTTAGTTTCAGCCATTTCCATCCCTAGCCTCTAACTGGTCAGCTAACTGACCCCTGCAGCCTGTCCTGAACCCCTCCGCATGGAGCTTGCTGTAATGCAAATCTCATTTCACCAATCTCTGCCCAAGAAATTCTAAGCACCTTCCATCCTTCAGCCCTTTGCTGTAGTCCCATCCCAGGAAACCACATGGAAATGTCCCCTTAGCCCACACACTCCCTTTCTTCTCCAACAGGGGTTCTCAACCAGTGGGTCGAACGACCCCTTGACATGGGTTACATATCAGATGTTTATATTACAATCCATAACAGTAGCAAAATTATAAATATAAAGCAACAAAAAAACTTTTTTTTAAAGTTGGGGACACCACAACACGAGAAACTGCATTAAAGGGTCGCAGCAGTAGGAAGGCTGAGAACCACTGTGCTAGAATCTTTCACTTGCCCAAGTGCCCTCCACAGTGGCAGGGGTATCTTGCAGCATCCTCTGCGGTAAGTTTCTGCAGGTAGCATGCCTTACATTCTGGGCTTTGCCCAGAAAAAGCATGAAAGAACACATTCTTTAGCCTTGACTAAGGATTTTGTAGCCTGTGTCCTAGTTCCACTGTCAAACATGGCTGCATCTAGTATCTTCAGCCTTCATGTCTGCCTTAAATATTTTGTAAGTACAATACTGTCTCGGAAATTTCCTTCTCTTTTGGCATGGTTTTGCTATCATGCTCTCCAAAGAAGGGATAGTTATATACCCTAATAACAAAATAACCACATTTTTTTCTCAATTATGCTGCCTGAGAAATTATCTTGGTAGCATGACTTGGTAATTTCTTATAATGGTTTTGGTGATTTCTCTTCATAAGGATGCTTCTCATTTTAAAAGATCATAGCAAACAATCCATAATTATTTTCTAGGCTCTGCCTTCAACATGATACATTCAGGCACAAGGGAACATTGAAGACTAGAGCTTGAGGAAAAACATCAAATAATCCCAAGGTGTTCTGGTTTGTGGGATGTTCTGAAAAGGCTGAGGATGGAACAAAATTGGTAGGTTTTTTTTTTCCCCTTGAATGTTTAAAATAATATCCGTGGAGGTATTATTCTAACAGTGACAGTGATTTTTGGGAAAAAGTCACACTGTTCTCTTTCTCAATAGTGCCAACCCTCCACACGGGGCATCTTCTAACTGCATCGCCAGCTACGCTGTGACCTTGGGCGACCCTTGGGAACCTGATCTCTTCACCCATAAAATAAACATCCTTCTATCCTGCTCATGGACCAGCTAGAAAACTGGTGGGAAATGATGTCCATTGCTTTACGAACTGAAAAACAAGGCATCATTTTAAAAATGAAAAACAGGGCATGGGTGTTTTTGTTGCGGTCACTGCCAAAGAGTCATACAGTCAGAGGACAATGCTCTCCCAGGCTTCAGCATTCTACCTGAGAGTCCGTTCATCCTACCCAGCTGGTATTTCCATTGTCCTGGGAAACACATCAAAAGGCTCTCTGCTGAGCCCCTGCAAGGAACAAGTCCAGAATGTACTTTTAAATTCCTACCATTAGTTTTAGGTTTGGGTTCTTTTTGCCTGTTTTTAAAGACCCTGTTGATTTGTTAAAATCCTTAATAAGAACAGCTGAGTTAACATTGGATTAAAAACCCAAGTGCCCAAACTGAAACAATGTCCCAATCTGCTAGTTATTGATGGCCAACAGCCAGACATGCACATCTGTGAGGCTGCAGCATTGTAAAAGGAAGAATCTGCCATTGTTTTCAGAACAGCTCAGCTCCTCTGTCAACAGAACACTCTGAGTTCTCTATAAATTCTAGGTTTAGAATTCTGATGTGATCATTTAATTTCCAACCCATTAACTCTTTAAATGGCTTTTAAGTGGGAACAAGAATCCAAATATTTTTACAAAACATTACCAATATTGAAAACACCACAGCTTTCTTATAGTCAAAGACCCTGGAGGCCTCAAAAAGAAGTCCTGAAAGAACATTGTTGAGATAACCACATCCAACGTGAATGTAATTAAACGAAAGAGAGCAGCTCTTGGTCAGGGCAGCTGAAGACCTTTCTTCCAAATATGTGCAAGGTAGAATTTGACAAGGGGGATGGCATTTATTCTCACACTTTTGTTGAGGCACTGATGCTTGGAAGTAGAGGGTACAGTGGGAAATGCCAGTTGGCAATGCGCCTCAGCTCCCATTCTGTAACAAAGGAGCCCTAAGATCCAAGTCTCAAGCTCACACTGAATTACTTGACTCTTTCCTATCTCCTAGGAATCTCTTCCTGGCTTTTTGCACTGTCTAATCCTTCCTGACCTCCAGCAGATCCCCTGTAAATGTCACTACTGCCAAAGGGCAGCTTTCCAGCATCCCTTCAGTCTACCATAGAGATGAGTACACACTGGTAAAGAAAAAGATACAAAATTTTAAAAACGAGGCTGGCATCAAATAACAGTCTATGAGCAATCAGAGCCTAATCGGTACAGCAGGCCAGCACAGGCCTTATACCTGCTCCCAGAACACGCCGAGAGGCCTCATAAGGCCATCCCCACTAACATAATGAACAAGAGGCAGCAAGCAAACAAAGACTTCCAACTTGGCATCATACCAACATGTGGCCAAATCCCGACTCTACTTTACTTAACCATGAGATGCTGGTGCCTCCGCCTCTTCATACATAAAAAAAAATAAATATGTCAGGTGAGCAAGATGGCTCAGTGGGTAAAGGTGTTTGCTACCAAACCTGAGGACATGAGTTTGACTACCCCAGAAATCACATGATAGGAGGAGAGAACCAGCTTCTGAAAGTGTCCTCTGATCCTAGTCTATCAGGTCTCATCAGGAGTGGCTGCATTGTCTTCTTCTGTGTTCTGGTAAGGCTGTCCCCCCTCGAGGGGAGGTGATCAAAGAGCAGGCCAATCAGTTCATGTCAGAGACAGTCCCTGTTCCATTACCATGTAGGCCACTTGGATACTGCACTGTCATAGGCTACCTCTGTGCAGGGGTTCCAGGCTATCTCCATGAGCGGTCCTTGGCTGGAATATCAGTTTCAGAAAAGACCCCTGTGCCCAGACTTTTAAGATCTGTTGCTGTCCTTGTGGAGCTCCTGTCCTCTCCAGGTCTTACTATCTCCCCCTTCTTTCATAAGATTCCCTTCACTCTGCCCAAAGTTTGGCTAAGAGTCTCAGCATCTGCCTCGATACCCTGCTGGGTCAGAGGGAAGGGGGGGAGGACCTCTCTTTTCAGTGGACTGGGAGAGGGACAGGGGTGGGGCAGAGGGAGGGTGGGAATGGGAGGGGAGGATGGAGGGAGGTACAGGGGGGATACAAAGTGAATAAACTGTAATTAATAAAAATAAAAGTAATTAAATAAAAAAAGATACACAGTGCAAAAAAAAAAAAGTTGTCCTCTGACCTCCACATACATGTCATAGCACACACATACACACACACCACATAAATAAAATATAAATTAAAACATTTTTACAGAGAAATATCCCAAGGAACACCGAATACAAGCTGGAATAGAGGGATAATACATCCTTTGTCAACTGGTCTCATTTCATTTGATCTGAGCTCATACTCAGCAAAGAGGGTATAAGATGTGACCTTTCAACTTGGGCTCATGAACTATTTAAACAACACCTCCTGTTCAAGTTATAATTGGAAGTGTCTAATTATTGTGGAAACACAAGAAGGCTTTCTGAAGTGTTGATGAGTAGTTCTGAGCTGTTTGGCATCAAAGTACGTGGGCAGTGTCGTCAGGCTGCATTAATAAATCCATAGGCCTTCCCTCATGCCCCCATCAGCGACCATGGAAAGTTGTTTCACCTCTCACGGAAATTCAGTCTGTAAGTTGAGGGTTAAAAAAGGGAACTACCCTCTAGGAGATTCCCCTGAAAACTAAATAGTGCATGGTAAGGATTAAACAAACTCTAGCAAATAGATAGTAAGCCTCAAATAAATGACAGGTGCTCTCAACATTGCAACCTTCTCACAAATTATTCTGAACTCTAACCTTTAGTGGGATCCTGACAATTTCTAGAAGGCCCCTTTGCACTTTTTCTAGAACTCCAAACATCTGGGAATTCAGTTCTTCTATCAATCAAGCAGGACCTGTGTTCCCAGAACTGATCTAAAGAAGATATAGCAGAGACATGTCTGCAAACCCAAACCCATTGTTGTCTTCCTGCAACAAAAGACTACATTTCCCAGGCTTCCCTTTGGCTCACAGTGGCCATTGTGATTAATTTTGGCCAGTAAGTTTTCAATTTACAAGCTGTTTCTGGGTGAGAGGAGGTATGCCATCCCCTTTTGTCTTCACACTGACTAGATAACAAAGACATTGGCTGCCCATCCTTAGATAAAGATGATGAGAGTAGCAGCCAAAAAATGGTAATAGGTCAAAAATGACAAGATAGGCTCACAGTTTTATAGGGCAAAGCATCCACTCAGAACAGACATTTATATAAGTAAGGAATAAACCTACTTTTGTTTAAGCTACAACCACAGGGCTTTTGCCACGTGCAGTCAAACACGCAACATGATAATATAAGTGTGGATGACAGTTAAGACACTACCTTGGTACTCAGTAGAATCTCATAACACGTGTAGAATTTCTGCAGGACTCCAGGCAATTAACCCAAATTTGGACAATTGAGGTCAGCCTCAAAGGCTGGAAAGCGACCACAGAACGAGTAGGGGTGATGAAAGGTCAAGAAAACCCATGTCACAGGGGAGGACAGGAGAGAAGGGGAAGGTAAACCCCACGATAAGGTTGCAACTTACCAAAGGTGGTAAGTTGAACAGGGTTCCTCTCTGCACTCAAATTTCCTCATCTGAAAGAAATAGGTAAAAGAGGGTAAAAAAAAAAAAAAAAAAAAATCCCTTTCAGCCATGCCAGGAAGGATCTATAGAATCTATAGATTCACAGAAATTTGTGCCAGCGAAGGCTAGAACAACTGCCCGCATGGATACCACACTGAGCGTGTGAAGGGGCCATTTCCACTAAACATCAAAAAGAGTGACATTCTTAAACTCGGGCTGGGCCAGGAGCAGCATGTGGGCTGAGGCCTGAGGAGCCAGTGTTAAATATTAGAAGCTCCACAGAATTAAGGCATTTCCAGAGAACTCAGCTCCTTTTTGCAGACTAGGAAGGGATAGTGAGTGGCATTTCTGACCTTGGATCTGCCAATAGCCTAGGGAAATGAGCCTGAACAATGCTCACTTCTTCTTTTCAGTCTGCATTTCCCCATTTCAAAACTAGGGATAATAAAGCACAGCATGAAACAGAATGATAACACGTGTGAGACACAGTGCTAGGCTCACAGCTGCTCAAAGCGCTCATCACATCTTACCACCTTCGCAAACGAAGAAACAAAACGTGATGAGCTCAGAGCATAAGACTCGGGTGTTCTGATGGAGGTACGAGCAGGTAGAGGGCTGGAATTTCCAGGCAAAGCAAGTCTCCGAAATAAGTCAGAGCTGTTAGGGTAGAAGAGCAGGTGGGGGGGGGGCAGAAATGCAGTTCAGTGATGGAGTGTTTGCCTAGCATGCTTGAGGCCCTAGGTCCAGTCCCTACTGTGAGGCACAGGGTGAGAGAAAGAGACAGAGACAGACGGACAGAGAGATCACAAACCACTCACATCGGGAAAGAAGAGGGAGAGCTGGCAGCTTCAGGCACTTGTAGGGGGTCTGAGTGTGAGCACCACAGGTGCCGTGGGTGCCTGTGAAGGTTAGAGGACAGCCTTGGCTGGGGGCGGGGGCCTCACCCTCTGCTGTGTTTGAGACAGCACCTTGTTGAGAGTTCAGGGACTCTAAACTCAGGTGCCCAAGCACTTTGCCCACCGAGCCATCCCCAGTCCAGTGTTGTATCTGGATCCATTACCAAGTGAAGAATGTTCTGCAATAGGGAAAATGTGCAGTAGAAGCAGGGCTCCTGTGGAGACTGACAGGACCAGATAGGAGATTCTGGGGGAGGAGCGGGGAGAAAACGTGGGCTGGTGGAGTTTCTGGGTAGTGGCAGGAAACCTTCTCCCCACTTTCAAACGTGGCCGCCGAGATTTCCAAACCTTTGCCTACTCTAAGGTTCTAGGATTTTGGCTTCAGAAGAAAAGCTAAGAGAAAGCTAAGTGGCCGATGCACTAGTATTAAGTATAAAACCATAATAAACAAAAGAATGGCGGGAGTGTGGCTGTGCTGGGGGCAGGAGCAAGCTGAGGTGTCCCGTGGTCCTGAAAGTGTTCGGTGTTGACTGTGGTGGCAGGCTTCGGAACCCTCAAATGAGACATGATACAGGACATAACATACATGGCTCAAGCCGAGTAAAGCCACGAGAACGTGATGTCAAACAAATCAGTGTCGATGTCCCGGATGTGGCGCTGCGGTACGGATTTGTTAAATTTGACACCTACGAGGAATCGGCAAAGTTTGGAGGTGTCTCTCTGGGCTGTCCTGCAGAACTGTGGGTAAGTGTGTAACCATCTCAATAAAACCTTCAGTTACACAACTAACTATAGAAAAACAGCCGCATGCAATTGTGCAGTATAAAATATAAATTCCCTGCTAAAGTTTAAGCAAAGCACATGCAGAAAGTTGTACTGACTGGTGTTCTACCACTCAGATATTCTTTTATAATATTTTTTATCTGTCTTCATTTTTTAACAGGAGATGTGCTTTCACAATGATTGCTTTTCTACGTGTACTAGTGTGTGGTTGAATTTAATGGACATAGTTTGTTAATTTTTTTATTCTATTTGGGTATCTTATTAGTTACAACTTTCTCAAGTAATTATTGTAATGGCTGTTTAATAAGGCTCTACAGGCATATCTTAATTTTCTTAATCACTCTCCTATTGGAGAAATGTTAGACCACTCTAAGATTTTCTTATTGTAAGTAATTCTGCAATGAATTACATATAGCCAGCTCCCAACATAACCAGAATGAATGACAACAAATCCTCCCTTGATGTAAGAGTTAGAACACAGCTTAGAAAGCATCTGAGCAAATGTTTCCCCTAAAATAGGCATACACCCACACACAAGCGATCCTGTAGTCACAGAAATCGTGTGTGTGTTCTCACTGTAGGGAGAGCAGTGAGCAGACTCAAGCCTGAGCAGCAACCTTACTTGGGGCTGTGGTTGACCTTGAGGAATCAGCAGGGAAGACAGAAATGAAGGAAGCAATTGGAAAAACGGCTTAAGACTTGGGAACCAGACAGACAGCACTCCTTTTCCGGCCTTCTAAACTGACGAAGCCACTTAATTATTTTAATCCCGTTTTCATCTATAAACATATGGAGCAGTTTCTGGACCTTCAGTGAGCGCCTGTCTTCTAAGTGGCTAGATGAATCCCTGGCATATGCAAACACCACTGTTCCTCATACACCCAATGTTCTTCTCACCAGGAGCCCTTACGCTGTCTTCAGGGTAACTCCATTAACCTCCTTCATTACTTCTTGAACATATTATCTCTCTCGCACTTGGTCAGACCTACAGAAGCTCCTGTCTCCGTTTCAATTTCAAGGAGGGCTCTGCCAACTGCTGACACCCAAGAGAAGCTCCTCACTCCAGCTCCTCCGACTACAGCTACTGGGTGATAAATATACAAATAATGCCTAAAGCCTGTCAGATCCCTTCCTACTGGGACACACAGATGATCAGGAAAGACTGGTTGCAACATGCAATATACAAACGAGGGATCATTGGGGCAGCCATATACACGGGGATGGGGGGAATGTTCATCTACAGAAAAAAAAACAAAAACAGAGATATAAGCAAGTGTGAGGAGAGGGAGATCAAGAGGCACTGCCAGCAGGCTCTTTAGCTCTGCCATTAGGTCCATCTGAAGCCATACCCCATGCTCTCTCTGCCCCCTGGGACGTCATCACATCTCCCTTCCTCTGGTTTAGAATGAAGACAATGCATATACTTGTTACTTGCACCCAAAGATGACTTATAGAGACATGGAAAATATTCAGTGCTTTTCTTTTATCTTCCATCTTACCATTCTATTCCTTCCTCTTAAATTCTCTCCAACTTTGTCAGAAATACTTGACTCTCACTCAGTATTTCAACTGACCCCAGGAACAGCCTAGCCAGGAAGGACTGGCCTGGCCTCTCAAGCCCTTCTCAGCATGGTGTCTATGCTTGACAACCTTTTGCTTGCTATTCTTGGACTTTTCTTTATTATTACACTTGTCTTTTCTTCTAGGACTCAGTTTCCCTATTCTAATCCATTCAACATAAATCCACTACCTTACATGACAGAAATGACATTGCAGAAATGACAATGAAAGAAAAAAATAGAGAAGGAGACTCAATACATAGTCACACTGGTTAAAGAAAAACAAGCAACCTGTGGCCACACTTATAACCACTCTTACAGACTTCAGACCAGCAACGGCAATACAATACAAGAAAGCTGAGATTGTATACATTTGCTGTTTTTATTATAAAAGCAACTAGACCTGGGGTCAGGCTCAGTGGTCAGCCCTTGACTAGCATGAGGAAGGGACTAGGCTCCATCCTCAGCTCTGAACAAACAAACAAAAAGGACTTGATACCAGGGAACACAGATACACACTTTAACTCTTAAGCCTCATTGGGGCAGACAGCTTGGATTTTCTTTCTTTCTTTCTTTCTTTCTTTCTTTCTTTCTTTCTTTCTTTCTTTCTTTTTTTTTTTAAATCACTGCATAGTATTTGGGCTTTTATACTTAATGTTTGCTAAGTGAATGAATTTGTAAATGGAAAAAGGAAGTCCGTCCTGGATCCCATAGAAGCCATACACTTGGAGCTGCAATATCTCAGCTGCATCCAAGGGATAGCCCAAGCCAAATGGACTTAAGTCTTTTCTGCGTCAGCTCTCTGCAAAGCTGAAGCCTATCTTAAAGAAGTTCCTTTTGGGTGGTTTGCCCTGTGTGAGGAATTATGTGAGCTTCTGGAGAATGCTTAGCAAATCCCTGGCTCTAATCTAGCAGTGCCATCAACAGGCCCCTCTCCCCACCACACATACTATTGTAGCGATCAGAAGTGTTTTCCCATACTTCCAAACATCCCAGGGAGAGGGAGCTTCTTGGAAAGCACATAGTCTCAACATGTCGTCCAAGCTGGTTTAAATATAAATTTACAGGTTACTTACATGCTAAGTTACATATACATTCCTAGCAATAAAAGAATGTGTGTGTGGGGGGGGGGTCTATACCAAGTCATATTTAAAACAGATGCTAATTTCCCTTTCTTCTTAGAAAGTTCTGCCTTCTACCTTCAAAGTTTCCCCTGAATTAGGCTACGCTGGGCAGCCCATGACATAGCAAGCATTAGTTTTGTTTGATTGCCTACGTCTACCTTGACTATGAATTGGCTTTCTCAGCCAAAGGTGCCAATAGTCTAAGTTTTCTGCAAGCGTATAGCAACTCAAGGTGTTTGTGAAGTGCCCCAAAGCTTACAAATAACACCAGGGTGACTACAACAAAGAAAAGAGTCAAATCCTTGAGAATAAAACCGCTTTGGAAACCCTCAGAAGAGCAAATATCCTCCATCCTGCCAAAGTATGCTTCCACCTTTTTGATCAGTTAGCATTTACCAGGGTCTTGCACAGGGCAGGAAATTCACTGGGTCTTTTTTTTTTTCTTCACCTGAACTCTCTAGCAATCTAAAGAGAGGTATTATCTTCTTTACAAATCGAGAAGCAGAAGCTGGGAGCAAAACTAGGCTTACAGTAATCAGCAATGTGAAGAGCTTGACTCTAGAACAACTAACTGCTGGATCCAGTTCCAGGGTCTCTCCAGGGCCACAGTGAGGTGTTATTCGAGAAAACTAGAACCACGATCCAAGAA